GAGACAACCACTGGAAATACTTGGACAGTTGTCAGCAGACGACAGACACAACTATAGAGCACTGGTAGCAGATCTAGAGCTCAGGTACGGAACCCAAAATCAGTCAGAAGTCTACAGGGCTAGGTTTAGGTCGAGAGTCCGTACTAAAGGGGAGAGCCTGCAAGAGCTGGCACAGGACTTTGAAAGCATGGCACACAAGGCCTACTCAACTGCACCACCCGAGCTCCTCAAGTTGTTGCTGAGGGATCAATTTGTAGATGCCTTGGACAGTCCACAACTGAAAATACAAGTGAAGCAAGCACACCCCTCTACTATGCAGGATGAAATGGCCAGAGCTCTTGAATTTGAATCTTACGTTAAGTCCAGCACAGAGGTATCAAGGTTGGTACAGTCATCAGGATTCAAGACCAGAATAGGTCAGCTTTCAGAGAGGTTTGAGGGACTTTGCTGGCACTGTAATAAACATGGGCACAAGAGAGCTCAATGCTGGCAACTTCAACACAGGGAAGATGCCACAGCAGGAAAGGCTGCTGCCCAGAAAGGTTGTTGGAACTGTGGAGAGCAAGGACATATGAGGAGCCAGTGTAAGAAGAATACCACTAATAAGTCAGCTTCGGGAGACCAGTAGAGGTTGGTGGTGAGGGATGCCCACCAAACCCCATCGTGAAAGTCCCAACAGCTAAGTGTAAAATGGCAAGCACACATAGTATCTATGTGACAGGGAAGCTGGATAGCCAAAGGTGCAACTTTGTCATAGATTCTGCATCTCAGCAAACCCTTGTGAGTATCAAGGTGCTGGATAACAAAGGAGTACCAGAAGCCATACAGAAGCTCTGTGTGACAAGACATTATGCAAGGTTGTGGGGACCAGTGCGGGTAACTATTGAGCTCATGGTCATGAAGGACAAACACAAATTATACTTGGCTGACATTGAAGACCAATGCATATTAGGATTGGACTATTTACTACCGAAGAAGTGTGTAGTTAACTTAGATAAAGTGACGTTTGGGAACAACAAAGGCCAAATTCCGGTAAGTGTTAAAAGAGAGGTTGAACTAACCAGGTGTCATCAAGTTGAAGTCAAAGTGACTGAAGGAGTTGATGATGGCGAAGTGCAACCAGGTATAGATATTAAAGCAGAACAGAAGAAAGACCAAGATTTGAAGCCAATAATTGATTTTCTAAAAGCAAGTGTTTTGTGCTCTGCTTGGGAGAAGGTGTCTAGCTTAAGCCTTGTGACAAAGATCTATTGGGCACAATGGGACCAGTTGAAGCTTGAAGATGGTATTCTTCTCCGTAGATGGGAAACTGCAGATGAGAAAGTGACGACCTGGCAAACAGTTATACCGAGAAAGTTACGGGAAGTTGTGCTGCGTCAATCTCATGATAGTTTAACAGGAGGACATCTCGGAGTTAAGAAAACATTGAGTCACCTACGGCAGATATTTTAATGGATAGGTATGAGGCAAGATGTGGAAGAATGGTGCAGGACGTGCAGTACATGTTGTGCTAAAAGGCGACCCAAGCATAAGGGACGTGCTTTAATGAAGTTATGTCAAGTTGGCGCACCAATGGAAAGAGTAGCCGTTGACATTGCTGGTCATTTGCCCCAAACTCATGCAGGAAACAGGTACATTTGTGTGGTGATGGATTATTTCACTAAGTGGCCTGAGGCATATGCAATACCAAATCAGAAAGCTACAACTGTAGCTTCGGCTATTGGTGACTTCTTCTTCAGATTTGGTATGCCATATGAACTGCATTCAGATCAAGACCTGTACATTGAATCAGCTGTGTTCCATGAATACTGCAAGTTGTTTGGCATACGAAAGATGAGAATAACGCCAGTTCACCCACAGTCTGATGGGA